ATGCCAGAAAGGATTCCTTCAATACCTATGCTCAATATGAATCAAAAGCGAACGAAAGCTTAAATTCGTTCAGAGTTTCCTGGAAAACAACCATTTGAAAATGAAATGAGACAGTAACTCCTGTACCATGGATAAAAGTCCTCAAAAAAAACAAATGTTCAACAAAGAACCTATGAAGAATACAGTTTTAACTGTACAACTCTACAAAATACACTTGAGTAAAGTTAGAATAATAATAATGAAGTAATGAGGGTTTCATTAAGATTCAATAATGCCATTAATGATTGCATTTTGAAACTCTTGTTGCACTTGCCTTCATAGACAAGTTTCAAGGAGAAAAATAAATAAAAGTGAAATAAAAATGACTGAAACTGAACTGTGCCATTAAAAAAAACCTCTTTATTCCAAGGTATTAATTTATCGTGGAAAGGTATATTTTAAGTGTCATTCAGTTCTATGTAAACTTGACTTTGCTGTGGTTGCACGGCTTTGTTTCAAACCTTTAATACTGGCTAACTTCTGTTCTCTAGCATTCGACAGAGAAGTGTGCCACTGTGACAAATTATTATACGGATGTTGCTTGTTATAATTAACATGTGTACTTCCCCACCATTTCAATAGAGCCTGTCTGACTGTAATGTGATCACGCTGTTCCCCTTCCTTTGTTTTCTTCACTTTTAGAGTGTTGTCATTTGTTTGATCGAGGTTCAGATTTCTTTAGCACACATTGCTGCAGGGTTAACTGGCCTTCCAGCTGAAAATAGATACAATTATTTTTAATGATTTAACTCTTTATTAAACAACACAACTTTGCTTTAAACTTGTAGATCATTTCTTACAACAAGGTGATTAAGTGTGAAACCACATTTTTAGTATTAGTATTATCAAGTGATTATTAACATCAAGGCTGGATTAGCACTCAGTTAAAGGTAGTGTAGGTAATTCACTTCAGAAACACTTGTAATATTCCATGAAATGCTCTTAACATCCCGATAGCAATGAATACATTAAATGCTTTGACAATAAATACATACAAAAATGTCATCTGTGGAAGCCGTGGCGCTGTAAAAATCACGACCAATCATCTGAGCCGGCCCGGCTAAAGTAACTGGATGGCCTACCTGCCTGTCAGCCTTCCATCTGTGCACAAATTTATCTCGTGCCCTCATTGGTCATGTGCGCGTCCGTGTGTGTTGGAGGAGGGGCTCTGTAAGGAAGTCTGAAGGAAGGGGCAGATTTTTTTCGGCTGCGTACTTTCAAATTCTAGCGCACTCGAGCTGGTTTCTCCATTCTTACCTACCCTTTAAAGCCCCAGGGCCCCACATTCCCAATCAGTTGACTGCAGGGTCGGCTCTAGAACAAATCAAATGGGGGGGCAATCATTTACCAAGGGGGGGCACATACTGCCGTCAACAACCAACACACAAACACCAACGCAACTTCAATTAAAAAAAACATGCTGTAAAGTTTATTGTCTTTCACACACATTGCAGGGGTGTAGTGCTATTGTATAGCGCACCTATGACTTGTGCATACATGCACGGTTGTGGCACGACCACCAAAACAGAAACATATGGACATAGGCCACCATATGAAAAGTGTGCAAATGTATTTAGTATCCTATCCATGTGAACATGTTTTAGGTGGGGGGTGGACCTAACGTCCTCTAGGAGGGTCTGGGGGCATGCTCCCCCGGGAAGATTATTTTTAAAATATTGAAGTTAAAAGCATCAATCTGGTGCACTTTGAGAGCAAAATGAAGAGATCTATGGATAGTCTACATCTCTCAGCATCCATATGAAACAGAACTGTACACAGATTTACTTTTTCTTTATGGATATTTTACTAATCACTCCCCTTTTAAATGGTATTCTTGTGTTATTGTCCTATAGTAGGTCATACCCGTTTTTCATTTATTCTCTTGTTCTTTAATAACTATAATGATCATATAAAGGTAGCCTATTCCTCGCAAATACTTGTTTTCATAAATGGTCACCAAACCGTTTGAGACCCACTGAGATAACTTACACTAAAGTGAACTATCTAAACACTGAGAGTCCTTTACCTCACTGAGCTGACGTTATAAGATCCTCTCAGTCTGACAGGAGAGGACTCTCCTCCACCTTGGTGTAGAAACAGCTCTTTATATCCGTTAGCATAGCTAGCTAACCAGATGCTAACAACAATATTCCACGTTACCGCTCGCGCACTGACAAAATGCGCTCGTGCCACACACAGAGAGCCGAGCTTAAATGAAACACAGAGACCCATGTACTTGTACTGTACTGTATATCATATTATTTTCGATGGCTTTACTGTATAATCAGTGTAACAGATGGACAGATCGCCACTGGGCTTTCATCTAAACACACAGCCACGTAATGATAACAAAACAAAAGTCGGGGTCATTGGTCAAGCAACACACCAATCAGAGAGCAGCAGTGAGCACACCTCAGGCTGTGTTTCATATAAAGAATAAATAAAGAATACAAATGTGTATTCTTTATTTCTGATGTATTTCACACAAAAAACTTTTGGTGGAAACGTTTTAACTTATATGATTACAAAAAAAAAAACGGCAAAGTGGCAATAAGGCTTGCCCACCCTGCGTTGGGGGGGCACAGTGACTCATTTGGGGGGGCAGGGCCCGCGAATGACCCCCCATGACGCCGACCCTGGTTGACTGTAAATAATGAGTTAAACTGTGGGATCGGTACAGTAATAAAAAGTGTGAAGTGGAGTAATCCCCCATGAATAATAATACTCTCTGCCCTGAGTCAAACGGTAGTAAAGACTTTAAAGCAGCTATAAGCAAAACTCTTATATTGACAATGAACCAAATGAAAAAGGAGGTTGCTGCTGCTCCGCTCTCAGGAGCTTCATATTGAGTTTCAGCTCATTGTTTATCTGTCGACTGCAGCAGGCAGCTGTTTTGAGTTAAAAAGCTCTAAAACTGCCAGTTAGCAACTAGCTGGTGAACATAGTGGACCATTTTGCAGCTAAAGAGAGATGTTTCCTTCAGGTAAAGAGAGACACATACTATATTGATCCAAGTGGAGAAATGCGTGTGCTTCTTGTAGAAAGAAAAACACAAAGCTAAAGGAAGAGGAGGTTGTTGGTTCAATCCCTCTGACCTGCAGGATAAAGGTGGTTGAGGACAGTGAAGAGTTTTCCTTTACTACAACTGGTGCCCTTGAGCAAGGCTCCTATAGCTCCTAACCCAAAACGCTTCATTTTTGCACAAATGAAAGTAATTGCGTAAACAATTTAAAGCAAAATAAGTTATGCAATCAATCATTTATTACAAATGACAAAATTCTATTTCAAATTAAAGCCATATGTTTTGGCTCTATGGGACTTTTTTTTAAACATCTTTAAATTGAGTTTACAGACTTTCTCTAGTCCTTCAAAATTAATTTGTTTTGGTTATTTTTCGTACAAAATATTCTTTATTTTCTTAGTTTTATGATGTATAAGTCAATCTTAATATAGCTAATTGTCATTCATACTGGCAAGATTAAAACCACCTGCATGTTCTAATCTAAAATCATCATCACATCAACACTTACATTATGAATCTTAATCTTAACTAATAAGGTATTAGTTTGTGGTTTCCTGGAAAACAACAATTTGATATTAGTATAAGTAAAATCGGAACAATAACTCCAATATTTGTTATAAAGGTTTCAATATACAATATATATAATTAAGTTTACAGGGTGCAACTTTGCAAAGAAGCCTTACATTTGATGGGAGGAACTCCTCAATATGATCATTCACTTGAGCAGGCTCAGACGTTTTTACCCAGTCATTCATGAGTAACTATTAGTTGTGGGTCTGAGCGCAAAAGGTTGGAAACAGTCAGAAGCAACTCATAGAAAGAGGGACATCTAAATCCATTGATCCAATAACTAACTCCAAATATGGCCGCATCCGTCTCTGTGACTCATGGATATAGTATTTCCTGGTATATTATCGTGCATGATGCATGTTTATCGGAAACACATGTGAAATAAAGCATGACTGAAGTTGGTACCCCGATATGTTCGATCAGATCAAGATGTGGACAATATGTTAGCAGTATACTCTTTTAGTCTTCAATGTAAATATCGTTTACTGTTTTAAAGTGTGTGTCAGATAAGAGTTGCCACACCCCTTCACAACCTGAACCCTGTTCAAAAAAAGTTAAAATTGATGTGTTAGGAAATGAAAACGGTAAACTTTCATTGTTGCTCAAAAGAACAGTTTTTCTCAACATGTTAAATAATCTAATAGGATTATTGCTGTGTATAACATTTAAATTCAAACTGGTTTAATTATTACTCCAAACTACCTTTTTCAGATTTTTTTTAAAAGGGGTTTTATTATGCTAATGTTCAGCTTTCATTATTGTATTTTGTCCCTCTGGCTCTGGAGGGAACTTTGGGATTTAGTCCTTTGCAGACCATTTACATGCACACAAATACAGGAGAGGGAAAACCCCAAAAAGCACACCAGGGCCTCTTTATAAATCTGACTCGCAATTACAACACTTCTTTAGATACAACATGTTTATGTTTAGGGCTGTTAAGTTAAGCGTTTGTATTTTGTTGGTCGAACGCACTTATTGTAAGTCGCTTTGGATAAAAGCGTCAGCTAAATGCAATGTAATGTAATGTAATGTATGAGAGGTTCCAGGTTGAATTGAGGCGGATATTTTTAATGTTCAGAGGTTGTTGTGTTTAATATTCATGAGAATATTTGTCATTGTTCAAATGATAATAAACAAACATTTGCATAAAGCATATTTGTCCACTCATGTTGATAAGAGTATTACAAACTTGAAAAATATCCCTCTCAGGTACATTTAGAACAGATCAAAAATGTGCGATTAATCGCGATTAACTATTTTAATCGACTGACAGCCCTAGTTTGAATACACTTTTAATGACACATCCTACAAGTCCCATTTTACCTGCATTGTAAATACAACTCTTAATAATGCCATTAATTAGTCAAAGTATAACCCACAGTTCTTTATTGCCAAATAACAATATATTGATTGCATATTTACAATTGAAATCAGTGCAAACACCTTTGCGTTTCAAGTCATTGTTAAATCTCAATCAATTAAGAGACATTTGTATTAAAACAAAAACGGAAAGGGACTTTAAGACTAGCTTCAAACGACAACAAAGAGCAGGGTCAATAACACATAACAACTGTTTGTTTAGAAGTTGGGTGTAGGTTAATTTTGGACACAGGACATTTAGCTTCAAACTCCAAAATGTTTTCTCTCGTGGGAAAGTGTGTGCTCAACAAACTAAGTGGCAGCCTCGATGCCTGAACACGCAGCTTCCCACAAAGCCTGAATCCACATTTTACAACTTTGAAGCTAATTTGTTTCTGTGAACACATCACTTAGGGTTAGGGTAACTCACAACCATGTGTTCTTTGTTGTGCAATGCCACAACCCTCAGTATAAACAGTCAAACTTAACATTTGCTAAATGCTGGGAGAAAATGTATATTGTCAACATTAAGACACAATTTGCATTTTAGTAACCTAAGACTGAGAACATGTTTGGTCCTGATCAAGCCAAGATTTCTATAAAAAAGATTATGAGTTTTCCAAAACTGACAAATGACAGACGATTTCGACATACTATTACGACATACTATTTCTACATACTATTTCCACATCAAGTCCCTCAGTATACATCTAATTATAAGCCGATTCACTACTGTAAATATCCTGTAACTACTCCTACAGGATACACGTTAAATAGTTATTTTAAATCATCAAAAATGCTGAAAATTACCCTTTGAGAAAAGCTTATGTCACGTCTGTAAAACTGGAGTACAAAAGTTGTTAAATTGTTTTTGTCATAACGCAAGATAAATCGTTTAAAGTGGGCGCTGATTTGAATAAAACTGGTGCAAAAGAGAGATGAACAGTGAACATAAGCAGCCGCACAGATGTCTTCTCCCCGCTGAATGAACGGAGAGAGTGCTACACACATACAGCAGACAGCTGCACAAACTCAGAAGACGTGGCATCTGACAGGCAGCAGCGAGCAGCTCCTTCGTCCTCTCGTCTACGAGGTTACTTGGAGAGGGCCCGTATTTTTCAAGCCGTTCAGAATAGGAAGTCTAAAATCCTCAGAGAGACACACATGTGGTCCTTCCTTTGAGCAGCAGGGACCAGTATTTTAATATCTTTCTTGATCTTGACTATTACTGTTTAGGATTTAATGTATAGATTTAGTATATCTGCTAATTATTAATGTAACTAAAGGACAGGGGTTAGCAAAAGGCAAATGCATGCAACAAGAACAATTACTGATTAGATTCATTGCACCTAAAATAATTCCTACATGACAAATATCCCAGCTTCAAATGAATGCTCTGGACACATGCATGTGGGTGCATGACAAATATAAACGACATGAAGAGTCACTATTTGTCTAAATATAGCCAATCAACAGAAAGTCTACAATCTACAGAAATAACTCATCCATTTTGATCTATTAATAAGTTCAGTCATTTTTAAACAACTGTAATGTTTTTTATTCCCGCTTCTAAATTGAAAAGATTCCCTGCTTGTAATGAATCATTGTAAACTAATATTTATGGGTATTTTGGTCAAACAAAACAAGTAATTTGAGAATGCTTTTTTGACTTAACAAAACTTGATAAATTGAGAAAGATATTGGCAGATGAATTGGTCATTTAAGAATCAGTAGTTGCATACGTAGTTTTGCATTCCAGATGTTTGTTGTTTCCTGATGAACTGTGTACACTAGATGCACATATGAAAAGATGTTTGCTAAAAAGAGCTAATTAGACACGTACAGTTGATGCTATCTCATCCGCTTTATCTGCAACCCAACTGACTGATTCCAGACCATCTCTATGAACTATGCAGAAGTGTATGCAAACCTGAAATAACTCAAGTCCTGTGCTCTGCTGCAGGAGAATAATATCAAATCCTTGTAAAACCTTCAGTGTGATATCTAGCAGTTATTCTGAGGTGTTTGAGAAATACGGGCTCTGTTCAGCAGGAGTTCTCTGGGTCAGGGGGTTAGACCCCCCCCCCCCTCCTGCAGACAGACCTCCACCTCCTCCTGAGGGCTTCGGTACTTCTTGTTTAGTGATCCAGGTCCATGATCTGCTCGGCTACAATGTCCATGGCTGCAGACGCCTTCACTGACCCCCCCGCGGAGCCCGAGTCCACGAACATGTGCGGGATCTCGGACCCAAAGTAGATCTTACTGTTGGCGGAGATGGACTTGAACTTCATGAGCTTCAGGTACTCCGGGGTGAGCTTCAGCTGCGGGAGAGAAACACCATTTTATTTACAGAAGAGCGGGCTGGACTTTCCGGTTCCAGTCTCAAAGTCAACTTTATTGTCAATCGTTCAGTTTGTGTGTACAGACGGAGAGATTGAAATGAAGCTTAGCGCAAGTTCAACCAGGAAGACCGTCGGGGGCGTCACTCTCCAGCTAAACCTATCACTTCGCCTCTATTCCCACAAGCCTATCATAGTGCATTGCTAAACCTTGAAATCTGCTCTCTCCCCTTCCTCACAGTTGTCATTTCAGGTGACTCAACGCAGCCCTCCTCCACCTTCCTTTCTTCCAAATCCAGGGTCAAGCTTAAACCACTACTCTTCAGACCGACTTCAATCAATCCTTTCATGCCCTCCAGTGTCTAGACCCCAGGGGGGGATTCATCGGCTCGGTTTTCCCCCTCCCGAATGATATTCCAGCACAACGGGGTCTAATCGCCAAACACCACGACATGCATCTGTGTATTCCCGGCAATAAATATATATCGTTACATCAAAAGAAAACTTGTCTCTCCTGATTGAAATACCGTTTCTCACAACCCCGAATACAAATACATATTAAAATATGTATATCCTATATATACACACAATCAACAGACACATGTATACATACACACATTAAGACATAAATAAAAGCACAACAATCCATATATACAAAATAACAGTCACTTCAATATCTTTGGGAAATGTACATTAGGGCAAGATTGTCCGAAGCAGAGTCTGTCCTGGATGAGGAGGGGGGGGGGGGGGGCTAAAATAGTGGGTAGAGAATAAACTCATGCGGTGCAGGAGATCAGAGAGGATGGTTTTAAAAACCTCTGCTGGAGCCATTCAATGTTTTCTAATACCTAAGAGTTAAACATTAGTTGTATTTCTGGTTTGTACGGATTACTTGTTGATGTTTTTGTTTTGAAGGCAGCTTCTTGATTTGAGCATCTATTGGTGGAAAGGTGGAGGAGGAATTTGGCACCAGAAAGTTGTTTTTTTACCAGGGCAAGAGAGGATGTAAAAGCCATTGTTCCTGTTTTGCTTTAGTTGAAACCTGAGAAAATAAATGCACAAAAGTAAATCTTGCCTGGAGAATGAACAAGATTTACGTCATTGTGCTTCAGCTGCAGTTTGAGATCGTTTTCTGTTGTGTGTTATTGGTTTGAGGACAAATACCCGCAGCACTCTCTTAAAAATGTACATTTCCCCTCTGTGGGACGAATAAAGGTATTCTGTTTCTGATTGTGTTCAGCTCTCAGTATTTTTGCAGCTGTTAACTGAATGGAGTTTAGGCTGCGTTCCAAATAACACACTTGTTATTTTTTACTTATTGTATGTCCTGCCGCTGACCTTATTAAGTATGTACGCTTCCATGGAGTATGCATGCTTTTGGTACATACTACTTTGTATGTCAAACCTTTTGATCATACAGTATAGCCCCTGTGCAAAGGATTGTGGGTCAGAAAAGCCAAAATAGCATGCTGTATGCAAACTGTGACCAGATGCAGAAGGACTTTAAGTACTTTTTGGCATTCTGCATTTGACATAGTATGTATGAGGACATATGTTTCTGTCATACTAAAAGGAATGGTGGTATGGGTGTTTTCATTGTTTTTTTTATATCCTGTATCTTTTATCTGCTTTATTATACTGTTTCACTTTCACCTGTCACTGCTGATTAAAAACAGTGTTTCCTGATTGTGCCGCCTAAATAACAGGTGACTCACAGGAAATAAGAGATATGTGATCACACAATAAGTGGAGCTTTGTTAGCAGCTTTCCATCAACAAAGGCAAGACTACTAATTAGGGTTAATTTCGTCAGCTATTTTTTTATTTAGTTTTAGTCTTAGTCCTGTGTTAAATTTCCTTTTAGTCATATTTAGTCAAGTTTTAGTCGACTAAAAGTCTGAGCATTTTAGTCATATTTTAGTCAAAGTAAACTAATTATTTTAGTCTACTTTTTGTCAATGAAAACTGTTGAGACTTTTTTAGTCATCAGATTATATAGAACATTTCAGTCAAACTAGTCAAAACCAATAATTTGTCATTTTAGTATATATAAATAAATAGGATTATATCTTGTCCTTATTTGATGAAAAACTCAGGTTGAATGATTAAGAAGCTTTGCAGAGAGTATCTGCTCAGGTTTGTGGTGTTGTTACCTGTGTTTTGGCCACATTGCTTCCCTTCTGATAAAACAATGCATTCGCTTTTTTTCTCCGCCTCATTGAAGCGAAAATGGGCCCAAATATCACATCGTTTCTTTCTCCCAAGCAGTGGTGGCTTTAGACTTTTTCGTTGTCAGTCATTTTGACGGACAGGATAAGGTTAGTTAGACCATGAGTTAGACTCGAGTCTTCCTGACAGTTCACAGTGTGCCGCTGGCCCGGTGTAATTCAAATGTACCGCCGCGCACAGACACACAGCTGCTGCCCAGCCGCAGCACCGGAAATGGAACTGCTGGGAGAAAGACTGACTATCGTGTTACGTTATCCTTGATAACATCTCGCGCTTTTGTGTAATCTATTTACCTTATTGGCTTCTGCCATTCTCTGTGACGTATAAAACTCTGCATCAGCTCTGGCTCTCATCCGGGCGAGGAAAGCACCATCTGTGAATCAGAAACAAACAGTCTGAGTTCTGTGTAATAACAGAAGTCCAAGCTGCTTCGCCGCTCAGAGAGGAGGGAGCTGGTGTAAATACTGCGACCTACAAACATGAGCCAAAACAAACAAATGGTTTCCCAGACTAGAAAACTGAAATCAAACACACTCGGAAAGAAGCGGTTCTGATTGTACACAGCTGCTGAAAACCACTTGAGGATTTACTCATAATCCTTGACTTCAGATTAATAACCCAAATGTATTTATATGTGTCTGTCTTTAAAAAGTGCTTAAAACAGCAGCTGTTTAAACACATGCAAACAAAAGATGTAAAAAAGATGACATGTTTGTAAACCAAACGGAGGTCTGGGGGCAAGAAAATAAAACAAACAACAACAAATTGTTTTTCCAAATTGAGTTGATTTCTTCTGTCTTTTGGCCTTACATAAAATCTTCTACTTCTAGTCCATAAGTTCATGTGCTGGCCACTTGCAAGCCCCGCCCCTCTAAAAAGATTCACTGACATATTTTGATTCAAAACGGTGAATTTTGCAGATAAGCGACTAGTTTGCATGTATGTAATAACATATGTCAAAGCTTGAATATACTAAACCAGTGGTTCTCAAATGGGGGTACGCGGACCCCTAGGGGTACGTTGGAGTACTGCAGGGGGTACGTGAGATTTATTTTATGTTAATGAAAAAACAACATAATTAATGCATTTAAACAAACTACTAATAGTAGATTAACTACTTTATTCAAAGGTTTACAGAAACTCTGGATAATAAAATGGGAACAATAATCGGGGTGTTCTCTTTTCCTCTCCCTCTCCTGACAGCCCGTCAGTCTCGTGCAGCTCGCTGAACCTGTAATAACTGACCCGACAGTAAAGAATACATATATAACTAGTTTAGCTAGTAGTTAGATACACTAGCTAAGTGTGTTAGGTCTAACTCTTAGTGATATGATCTCTGATCTCTCTCTCGCGTCCGGTTAGACTTCCCTCGCGTTTATGTCCAAATCAGATCTAGCTAGTTCTAGTTAATGATATGACTGCCTGCTTATCAAAAGACCTAAACAATAAGCGTTGCTTGGCAACGGCGTGTGGCCGCAAGGTATAGCGCAGCATTATGCATATGTTTATATGAGGGGTCAAAATCCCATGCTCATAAAATGCTCATATATTTTTTTCTCTTCATTCCCCACGCCCCAAAATAAATAAATAAATATACCAATTTTAGGAAAAGTAAGGAAGTTTGAGCAGTGTGGGTTTTTACACATATTTCAAAATGTGAAGTGTAATAACTGCAGGTGCCTCCCCGTCAGAATGACAAAGATCTCAGTGAAGCTCAAGCCCATGTTTCACTACATTGTAATTACAACTTCTTAAAAAGATCAGTTCAATGCAACTAATGTCGTCTCAGTGTTATTGCATGATGTTAAAATTGGTTTGCCATGAATTTAGTGATGGATTGTAAACATTTTAAATGTAGCATTTAAGTGTTTCTCAGTTACAAGGTTGTTGTTTTAATAATCAGACACTGATGGTGCAGCACTGCACTGTACCTCTTTATATAGGCTTTGTTCCCTAACAAATTGTTTTTGCGCTGATCAGGGGGTACTTGGCTGCATTTCTTTTTCAAAGGGGGTACATTATTGAAAAAAGTTTGGGAACCACTGCTCTAAACAGTTGGGGTCTTCTAAACATGATACTCTACTCTGAAATGCATTTCATTTGTACCGTTGCTTTCCCCTTATATACATGTTTATCATATCTTGTCTATAAACCAATGTTTAGGGAAAATGCAGTCGTTAGGGTTTGATTCATTTAGATCTGGTTAGTATAACACATATCTTTAAATAAATAAATACTGGGGGCGTCCCGATTACCTTCGTTCTATCTTTTGACTGTTTGTGAAGAAATTGCCACATCGCTGAGCATGTTTGCTTATTTGTCTTAAAAGGAATTTGACTTGCCCTGGCAGGAAATGCACATGTTGTGATGACAGTTGTTTCATAACCCTCCGATCTTTTCAGTGAGTCGACATGATGACAGGATTAGAGAATTAGCAAACAGCCATTATTCCTGTTGTAACATGTGAAGACTGACTGGGGTACTTTAGGAAAGTGCATTTATGGAAACAATGTTGAGATCCAATTAATGATAGATTACAATTCTTCTTTGTAGATGCTCCTCTTGTACATTTCACTTCTCTGCATTTATCCGACAATAAGTTCTGTTTACGTTTTAAGACTTTATAGCTAACAACTCTTAACAGAGATCAAATCCTGGCTGAGCCAAAATGTCCTCAACCTCAACGAGAGCAAGACTGAGGTCATCTTTTTTGGACCCCAACCTCCAGCCTCCCCGGTTGATATTCTGGGCTCCCTCAATACAAACATCCTCCCCTCTGTCCTGAACCTTGGAGTGACCTTCACTAGCGCTTTTAAAATGTGATAAGCAGGTCAGCAGCGTAGTCAAGACCTGCTTTTTTAAAATACGACTATTGGCCAAGACCAAGTCGTTTTTATCTTTTAAAGACCTAGAAAGGGGTATTAACGCCTTTGTAACCACAAGGCTGAATTATTGCAACGCTCTATACGTGGGTATGGACCAGGCCTCAATTAGACGCCTGCAGCTAGTGCAGAACGCAGCTGCGCGTCTTCTCACTGGCCACAGAAAGCGTGACCACATCACCCCAATTCTGGCCTCACTGCACTGGCTTCCAATTCGGTTCCGAATTGATTTTAAACTCCTTTTATCTGTTTTTAAAGCCCTAAATGGGCTCCGGCTTATTTAGCAGAACTCCTCCATCGCTACAACCCAGCCAGAGCATTAAGGTCGGCTGACCAGCTGCTGCTGGTAGTGCCCAAGACCAGGCTAAAAACCCGATGGCACCGAGCCTTCGCAGCGGCTGGCCCCAGGCTCTGGAACACTCTGTCCCTCCATGTGAGGTCGGCCCAGACCCTAGGGGTTTTTAAATCAACACTAAAAACTCACTTCTTCTCCCTGGCCTTGTAGTCAGAGCGGAGCACGACTCCTGACATTTACCTGAGTGTGATTTTTGCTGTTGTAATTTGTTGTCTTCTGTTTGCTATTGTTGTAAAGTGTTTTTATTGCATGTACAGCACTTTGGCTCGACCAAAAATCGTTTTCAAAATGAGCTGTATGAATAAAACTTGATTTGATTTGAATGCATTGTTTAGATAAAGCCATGTCTTTCACTTTTGTTGTTTTGTGGCCCTTGTTGCTCAGTCTTTGGCTCTAACTTACTTTAAACTGATTATTTTTTCAGGCTGTGTTTAGATAATTTGATACCACTCCTGACTCGACACATTTTAATCAAATCCAAGTGTATTTATAAGCCCTGTATCTCAAAAACGTGAGTGTCAGTGGGCTTTACAGATTAACAAACACGAATGAGAATGCTCAAAGATAAATATTAGTCAGTATTAAAAACTAATTTAAGTTAGATTGGGTATTTCTTTTACTTAAGATCATTTAAGAATATTTAGCTGATAATACTTTTGTTCTGGATACAAACCTTCAATTTCAGAGATCCTTTTCTCCGTGTTCTTCTCCATGACTTTCTGTCCGTATTTGATCTCTGCCACTTGTGCCACTTTCTCAGCCTCTAGAACACAAACAAGCACCTTTTTGTATAACAATAGTTTGTATAATGAACTTCTCTTCATTGTTTTCTTTGTCTTTGTCTCACCTATTATAGCTTTGATCCTTTCTGTCTCCGCCTCCTTCTCCACCACCTTCTGTGTCTGCTGAGAGATCAGCAGCTTCGTCTTCTCGCTCTCCCTAAAACACAAACACACACTTTACATTAAAACACACACATCTAGGCATGTACAGAGCAGGCTTTATACTGTTTAGGTGGGATATCTAACACTTTTATTATCCTGCGTGTGTTAACATTTATAGAATAATTCCTCCCAACCTCAACATGTGCAGAGGTGTCACCTTTGTGGGTCTGCACATTTTCCATGCATCCTTAGAAGCACAATTAGTATTTTAGTTGGATGTTATGGGTCTTTATTTTAAATTCCTGGACCAACTTCAGATATCAGTGCTTCTATAGTTTACTTTAACGAGACATTAATGCTTGGCTTGTGTCATGTAGGTTAAAAGTGTTTACCCTGCATAGCAGCTGGATTCCATAATACAAGTTTACACAATAAATGCAGGGTCACAAGATAACATGGACATCCATCTTGTCATGCTTCAAGTAATGCATTGGTATTTTAAAAAAAAGGTCCCCTATTATGCAAAATGCACTTTTTGATGTCTTTTATACATACATTTGTGTCCCCGGTGTGTCGGGGAACTCACAAAGTGTCCGGCAATACAACCCTCTCTTTTCCTCCGTACCCACATCTCTGAAAGCGGGGGTACAACAGAGCTGATCCAGATTTGCTGCCGATATGACGTAATATCGGAAATGTGGGCTGGCTTTACGCCCACGGCACTATCAGAAACGTCGGTGTATCAGAAACAATGCGTTTTGGAAGTAATATGGTCTTTGTTTACATTACCAAGCATCGCTAACACTAGCTACGGACCCAGAATCAGCAGTTCTCTAACAGGGCTGAAACAGAGGGGTTTGAGGCTAGAATGGGTGATCTGTTTGGTATTTTGAGCCAAACACTCCATAGACGTTTTTGTATATCTGAGACCTATAATATATGCCTACAAATAGTATAATAGGAGACCTTTAAACCAAACAGCACACTGTGAGGAGCTACTGGCTTTATGTGTGTGAGGACACAGGAAGACGACTGTTTGTTCAAAACAACAATGGTGTCTCCTAAAGAGGTAGGCCTAAATGCTTCAAAAGCATCAGATATTTAATAACTTGACTGTTCGTTAGAAGAACGGTAAATAAACGGCATCATTTTGTGGGCAAAAGTTTGATTGACTGAGGATTTTTCTAATTCCCTGCGAACACATTTTTGTACAGTATGTGCCTGCCTTTTTCTAGGGTTCCCACACCTTCTTAAATACATTCGAGTACTTTTCAGGCTTAATGTCAAGGACCCAACACGGAAAGGTTAAATACACTTGAGCCAGGTTGCATGTTCAAACAATGATGTAACTGCAGGTAAGAAACATGCAAGAGAGAGTGGGACATAGCCAATTTAGAAAATGTTAAATAGCAAAGACCTTTATTTTCTACTATTTCTCAAAATATATAAATTCAAGCACTTTCAATGACAGATGTCTTTCGAAAGAAAAGTCAAAGCCCTTGATTTTTTCCCCTTAAAACTCACATTTCAAGGATTTCAAAGAGCTTGTGCAACCTGTTAACCGTAAACAACTAACTATTAAATGAACTTGACAATTGGACTTGTGCTGCTTACTAGGATCCATATTAATACATCATAGAAATATGAATGCATCACAGCTTTCATAAACATCTAAGTCCTTTGTAATTATGAAGTGAATGGTACTTATTCATAGGCAATAAAACAATATCTTTTCATAAAATAAACATAGAACAAGCCAACACACTTCACTTTGACATCACAGGCGGTTCTTTGGAGATGATCAGGACTTGGTTTTTTACAGATGTGCCTGAAAACTTGGTCTCTGGAGCTTTTTTTGTGTTTCTTTTAGGATTCCTGGTTTCTGACATCATTCTCAACTCTCAAACAGAAAGAGAAAGAAAAACCTTCAGACTTCAGACTGAGCAGAAAGATACCGAACAAAAAACCATGAGACAGCCCGGAGACTTGGAAAGCGTTTGTGAAAGTCTGAGCCTATAAGAGCAGGCATTTGGACTGGGCATAACATTTCAAAGAGTCACATCCAAACCCTGTGCCATCAGGACACATTGACAACAAATGCTCTGCTTTCAATCTTGGCTTTGCATCTTCGTGTCTTTGCCTCATTGGGAAGATTTCCTTAACGAACCACATCAATCATTGTCTGTTCATCCCTCAAGTAATCCTTTTAAAGTTAGAACAATACAACTGCTAGTTTGAAGGGAAATTGGCTTTATTTAATAACCTGGGGCTTATTTCCATAACCAGGGCAATCTACTCTCTAATCACATATCTGCTGGGATCTGTTTGTATTACTGGCTTTCGGTCAAGTAAGCCACACACTTTCTCACAGCCTGAAAAAACAAAGGTCAACATTTACTGAACCACTTATGAGAAAGTGAAACCAAAAGTATCCTAATACAACGTCTCATGCCTTAAAGGCAGTATTTGCAGTAGATAGAGATTAAGTGTAGCTTTGCTGAATGGAAAGTTTTGCTGCCATTAAAACATGAATTTTGACATTAGAAGCTGGTCACAACTCGTGCGGTCGTCTGACTGCTCATGCTGTGCCTCCATTTACGGGAAATGATGGCACTGCTTCCAAAGAGCTAGGAAATGTGGGTTGGTGAGTAATTGTTACCGTAAACCTCAGGGATGATGTCAAAATCCCCCCCCCAAAAATCTTCAAAAGTGAGCGCTGCCTCACCGTCCCAATACCAACTAACAGAGCACAGGGTTGCCAACTCTCACGCATCTGAAGTGTGCCACACGTTTTCACTCTCAATCTCATGCTCTCACGCTGCCCAAACTATTCTCACGCCCAAAACAAGATGAACCGGCGATCGTTTTTGGTTGGTTATTTACAATGTTGAGTTGACAGCTGCTCAAGCTGTCGATAAAAAGTGCTAAATCAAAGTACTATTTGTCAGTTACCACAGAAAACCTGAATAATCCTAGGACATTTTGGAAAGCCATAAAATCGATTTCCTGGTGATATCCCAAATGAGCTACATCCGTGCCTCACCACAGCATCTGGCATTATATCAGACAGGGCTACTATGCTAAATTGCTTTAATAAGCATTTTGTGTCTTGTGGCTCTCTGTTTGATTCTGTCACTGACTGTACTTCTGCTTCTGTGAACGCTCCAATCCTTGACTCTGAACAATGTGGTCTGGAAAACCCTTTCAGTTTTACTCCTTTAACTATTGGTATTGTTCATGAAGCATTATCCAAGTTAGATCCTAGGAAACCGGCTGGCCCGGACAACTTAGAACCTTTCTTTTTAAAGTTAGCTGCATATTTTATTGCTCCACCTCTCACTACTCTTTTTAACCTCTCCCTCAGCACAAATACAATTCCAAAAGTATGGAAGTCTGCTTATGTCTTGCCTTTACTGAAAGGAGGGGAGGCAACTATTTTAAATATCTATAGGCCAATCTCAAAATGGTCAGTTCTGGCTAAGGTGCTCGAACGACTTGTGAGTGAACAAGTAAAGGAGTTTTTATGTAAAAATGACATCCTGTCTAAATATCAGTCAGGATTCAGAAAGAAACACAGCACCATCACTGCGACAATGAAAGTGGTGAATGATATTACGAATATGTTAGATAATAAGCAGAGTTGTGCAGCTCTGTTTATTGACCTTTCCAAAGCGTTTGACACCGTCGATCATCACATTTTAAAGCAGAGGCTAGCCAGTATAGGCATATCCAGCCATGCAGTGGGGTGGTTTGTAAACTACCTCTCTGAAAGGTCCCAATGTGTTCACTTTGATGGACTGTCTTCTGAGTGGTTAAACATTTCTAATGGTGTTCCCCAAGGTTCTGTTTTAGGACCACTTTTATTCTCCATATATATTAACAGCGTAGGTGATAATGTGGATGAAGCTACTTTACATTTGTATGCAGATGATACTGTGATGTACTGTGCAGGTCCCTCCATTAAAGAGGCTGTTGTTAAATTACAGGCTGTTTTTAACATTATTCAGACTCAGCTCTCTGAATTAAAGCTTCTTTTAAATGTGGATAAAACCAAGGTAATGCTCTTTTCAAAAGCTAAAAAGACACCAGAGCCTGTTTTAGATATTGTAACTACGCAAGGAACAAAACTTGAAGTTGTTGCCTGTTACAAATACCTTGGTATCTGGCTTGATGATTGTCTCTCTTTTAAACTTCATGTCAATAACCTGCTTAAAAAACTAAGGTTTAGGCTAGGGTTCTTTTTTAGAAACAAGTCCTGTTTCTCGCTTGAAGCCAGGAAAAGGCTAGTCACTGTCACCTTTTTACCTGTGCTGGACTATGGTGATTTGTTGTACATGAATGCACCTGCCAATTACCTGAGCAAATTGGATGCTGCGTATCACAGTGCTCTGAGATTTGTCACAAATTGTAAAGCGCTTACACATCACTGTACACTGAACCAAGGCAGGTTTACCATCACTCTCTGTACGGAGGCTCAGTCACTGGTACACTTTTATTTATAAAGCTATGTTGGGCAAACTCCCGTATTACATCTGTTCTCTGGTAAAGCAGAAAGTTGCAAGCAGCTATTGTCTGAGATCGCAGGATGTAGTCTTGTTAGATGTACCAAGGGTAAGGACTGTTTTAGGTAAGACAGCTTTTATGTGCGCAGCTCCACTTGCTTGGAACAGCCTGCAGTCCAAATTGAATTTGTGCAATTTTATTTCTCTGAATGTTTTTAAGGCACGTCTGCACGAGATGCTTTCTGACACTATGGGTGTTTGTAAGTGTTGGTAAATATGATGTCCTCTATTGTTTGTTTTTATGTTGTTTTTATGTTTCATGTGGAACTAAATTGATGCAGGTCTTCCTTGTAAAAGAGATCCGTGATCTCAAGGGACCTATCTGTCTAAATAAAGGTTTGAAATGAAATGAAAACAGTGGAAACAAACATGTGTTTGACTTTCATTAGTGAATGAAACTTTGTGCCCTTTATAGTCTGTGTCCAATATTGTGTATTTGTATATATTGTATATATATCCTATATATATGCTAAGGTCCCGCTGCTGACACAATAGCAGTCATTTAGTGCGCATAGGATATTTAACTGAAAATACTAGGGAAATGTTTACTCAGAATTTTTCTTCCACACTTGCCCCTGCTAACATCTCAGTAAATGAGCTAGTAGATCATTTTAATTAAAAAATAAAAAATGTTATAGATGCCATTGCTCCAACTAAGGTAAAGGAAGTGACTGGGAAGAAGATATCTCCATGGAGAAAGGCCATGACCGTGAGAGCAGAAAAAAGAGAGTGTCGAAAAGCTGAACGTAGGTGGCGAAAGACAAATCTCCAGGTTCACTTTGAAATCTATAAAGAGAGACTTGGCCTTTATAATTTGTAATTGAAAAACGCACGACAGTCTTTCTTCTCTGACATCATTACCAAAAACAAAAACAACGCACGTGCCTTGTTTGCTACCGTCGACAGACTAACTAACCCCCCAGTGTCAGTAGCCTCTGAATTTCTATCCACCAGGGCGTGCAATGATTTTGCCTCCTTCTTCACTGACAACATTCAGAAAATCAGACAAGCAGTCAGTGCCTCTGCATCAGGTACACAAATGTGTTGTCCCTATGTCCACCTAATATCAATTCAGACATCATGACACAATTCCATCAGATTAATGATAAAAACCTAGAGGACATTATTCAACTTCTGAAATCCTCCTCCTGCTGCCTTGATATTATTCCAACAGGATTTTTCAAAGATGTTTTTCCTTGCATGGCCTCAGATCTACTTCATATAGTAAACACATCTCTTCACTCAGGTATTTTTCCACAGGCCCTGAAAACTGCAGTCATTAAACCGCTCTTAAAAAAGAATAATCTAGATGCTTCAGTAATGAACAATTACAGGCCCATATCAAACCTGCCATTTCTAGGTAAAATCATTGAAAAAGTTGTTTTTCAACAGTTGAGTAATTTCTTGCATTTAAATAACTGTTTCGATGTGTTCCAGTCAGGCTTTCGTCCAAACCACAGCACTGAGACTGCTCTTGTAAAGGTCTTTAATGACATCCACTTAAACACAGACAGTGGCAGAACTTCAGTGTTAGTATTATTAGATCTCAGTGCTGCGTTTGACACTGTTGACCACAACATATTACTAGACCGACTGGAGAACTGGGTGGGACTTTCGGAAACAGTTCTAAATTGGTTTGAATCCTATTTAAAGGACAGAAACAACTTTGTTTCTATAGGTAAATACACATCTGAGTTGACAAATATGACATGTGGGGTTCCTCAAGGCTCCATCTTGGGGCCTCTTCTCTTTAACATATACATGCTACCACTGGCTCAGATAATGAAGAACAACAAAATAAGTTACCATAGCTATGCAGATGACACACAAATTTACGTAACAATTTCACCAGGAGACTATGCTCCAATTCAAACACTGAGTAAGTGCATTGAACAAATCAATGACTGGATGTGTCAGAACTTTCTCCAATTAAACAAAGATAAAACTGAAGTAATGGTTTTTGGAGCCAAGGCAGAATGTATAAAAGTTAGCGCTGAGTTTCAGTCTGCAATGTTCAAAACAACAGATAAAGCCAGAAATCTAGGTGTAGTCATGGACTCTGACCTGAGTTTCAACAGTCACATTAAAACAGTTACTAAATCAGCCTACTATCACCTAAAGAATATATCTAGGATTAAAAGACTAATGTCACAGCAGGATTTGGAAAAACGTGTCCATGCTTTTATCTTCAGTAGACTGGACTACTGCAATGGTGTCTTCACAGGTCTCACTAAAAAATCTATTAGAAAGCTGCAGCTGATTCAGAACGCTGCTGCTCGAGTCCTCACTAACACTAAGAAAGTGGATCACATCACTCCGGTTCTGAAGTCTTTACACTGGCTTCCTGTGTGTCAAAGAATAGATTTCAAAATACTGCTGCTGGTTTATAAAGCACTGAATGGTTTAGGCCCAAAATACATTTCTGACCTCCTGCTAAATTATGAACCATCCAGATCTCTCAGGTCTTCAGGGACTGGTCAGCTTTCTGTCCCCAGAGTCAGAACTAAACATGGAGAAGCAGCGTTCAGTTATTATGCTCCAAATATCTGGAACAAACTCCCATAAACCTGCAGGTCCGCTGCAACTCTGACTACTTTTAAATCCAGGCTAAAGACTTTTCTTTTTGACGCTGCTTTTAATTGAACTATTCACATCTTAAACTGCACTGTAACTTTTATCCATGTATTTTTTCTTTTAATGTTTATTTTATTATCTTTTCTTTTTAATGACTGATTTTAAATGCCATTTTCTTAATGTCTTTCGTTTTTTGTAAAGCACTTTGAATTGCCTTGTGTTGAAAGGTGCTATATAAATAAACGTGCCTTGCCTTGCCTTGCATATGTGTAATTAAACCCATGATATCAAAATCTCACTCCAGCCAGGTACCCAAAGTTGGCAACCCTGCAGAGCATGTATCCAAAGATAACAATTCTAATCAAGAGGCAACAATTCAAATGAATATTCAATTATATTATAGTGACAATAGCCAAGAAGAAGAAAAGACTGAAATGTATGAGCAAAGAAAGACAGAAACAAGGAGAAACTATGCATCAGCTGGTTGGTGTGTTTTGTTTAATCCTAGACTCCCTTGTCAAATACATTTTAAACTGTATGTAAATACTCCTGGTCAAAAATATCTAAAACCCTAAGGTTCTCAATTTAAAGCAACTCAGCTTAAAACACAATAAAGTAAGGCAGCGTTTTCAAGCAACTCATGGAAGCAAAGCAGCGTTAGCTTCGATGGCTAGTTAGCTAACATTACAAACGTCAACAAAACCTGTGTGCTTGCTAAATATAAGAAAGCCTGCTTTTTTTCTACCTTTGTCTGAAAACACGTAAACATTATTCAGAGCTTTAATGAGAATGTGCTACTATATTAATATTAAATCTGGCCCGTCTTATTCCATTTTTTCATTTACATTGTATATACATAAGGAGCGTATGGCACCTTATTCATGTCTTTTCACCACGCAACTGTCATAACATCCTGTCACTGCATCCCAAAATAAATTAGTTTTAGCAGATACTTCTTATAAAAAGGTGCTTCAGACGGTCTGAAGATGCTAATGATTTCTATGTTACTGTTTGGGGCTAGAAACACTGATCGTTGTATATTTGCAATGAGGCTCATTTGCAAAACAAAGGGTCCAGTGTTTTCCCAAACGTCTGCTTAAAACATCCTTTATGCAAATGTTACAGGAGCACAAACACTGTGCTGTTATCTTCTTAACAACACAGATTATTACACAGGAGTATTTCAACATTTGCAGGTGCTTTCAGTAGTTCTCGCTTCCTTTGTTTGCACAGGTTTAATAACTACAAAAGCCTCGCCCTTCTTTTGTTTAGTTACCTCTGTACCTCTGAAGTCCCAGTAGATTTAATCGGTAAACAGCGTATGTGCTGTGCAGGCAGCAACAGCTAGCTTTTGTGGAGGATTATGAAATGTTCCACTTAAAATATTTAAAATAACAGTAAGCTGTGATGCTTTTCTAGAGTTGAACACATGTCATGCTGATGCCTGATAATGAACAGCTGAAAGATACTCCTGGGAATGAAGACCCTATCTAATATGAAACAGATTAGTCAACACATCTGTAGGTAGACATGTGTGTTGCGTTAACTCGGCTTCGTGTGGGTTTCTGGCTAGAAGTCAGGCACGATGCTTTACTTTGATACAACAACATCTAAATTATTTCCTTTGTCTTACTTGCAGACTGTGGCTGGTTCCCCGCTGTGCTTTTATGAACCTTACTACAACTTACTGTCGAAATGTTGCCTTTTAGTAAATCACATAACTTGGATATCAGGCACTGTTACTTTTATCCTATAATTTGTACCCGTGCTACTCTATTTTACACACAGAGACAGACACACACACCCAGCACCAGCAGACACTTTCTACGCTGTTATGGGCACTCTTTTGCACTAATGAGCATTTTTTACTGTAATATATTCATCCACCTCCATTTTGAAGTGACTTTTGAAATCTCAGAATTCTGACTTTTTCCTCAGAACAAAAAAACATGATTGTTTTTGGGAGAAAAAAAGTCAGAATTCTGACTTTAATGACTTTTTTCTCCCAAAAAAAATGTTTTTTTTGTTCTGAGGAAAAAGTCAGAATTCTGAGATTAAAGTCAGAATTCTGAGAAAACGTTTTTTTTTCAAATCTTCCCAAAAAAAAAATCATGTGGCCCTAATCCTCTTCCGTATATGTATGTATTTATGTCTTTTTATTTAAATATACAATTGTATTTTTTTATCTTCGGGATTGTGGGAAACAGTATTTCTCTGTTTGTACACAGAAACTGAAAGATTTACAATAAAGTTGACTTGAGTTTTAGATCTTAAGGGGGCCTTTTCTGGTTTTGGACAAGTATGAACCTGCAAATGAGAATTTGAGAGCCCTTAACATGCGCAACGTAATGTTTTTTCTGGCACTTTTCTTAAGTCTGTTCATGTTTTTTGTAAAGCATTTTGAATAGCCTTTTTGTTGAAATGTGTTTTATAATACACTTGCCTTGCCATACTGGAAAGCCTCCTCACTTTATCACAGTTGCTGTTACGGAGCACTGATTATATATGAGTGAGATGCTCACAGACCGACAGGAAACAGCAGAATCTTACAGGACTTGGCAGGGAGGAGGATCCACTTGGGAGGGAAATGATTGCACAACAGAGGCAACGGGGGTCAGGGAACATTCCTCTGTTGGCAGGGGGACAAAAAATAAAAACTCACATGAGCTCGTAATTCCTGCGAATGCTCTCCGGGATGATAGGCTTTGTGACACGGACCGCCTGCGGATCAGAGAAAGAGAAAGAAAAAGTTTAGTCCGAAGCCGGCGGGAGGAACATTTATAGAAACATTAAACCCCCGGGGAGATATCAGAAGAATGAGAAGCTGAGAGAGCCAAATTACTTTTATTATCCCCAGTTGGGAATAGAAATGTTGAAACTATTGTTTTACTTATTTATTTCACCTATAACAACAACATATTCCTTTGTCTTAAAATGACTTTCATTTTTTTTGTTTGCTTTTATAATCACCTATACTTTCCCCTGAAAACTGTTTTATGTTAGGATAAAGAAAAAAACAAAACAACAGATAAAATATGCACAAATATGCATTTAACAATGTATAGAGTAGCGTATTAAAATAAATAGTGATATCAATGCTTACAATCCAATTAGAGCTCAAATGTCTTGTGTAATACGGTAATAATGTTAAAGTATTATTGCCCAGTAAATACTCTCTGACCTGTACGCTTACTGGTTTCCCAGAAACAGACATTGTTATTTTAACTGTACCTAGAGAGTTACAGGAAACATTAGGCAAGAGCATTAAAGCCCAGAGGAGCGTTTAAACACTAAGCAGGGTAGGGAGTTTATCTCTGTGGGAGGATTTAATGAGAGGGGGGGGGGCCACTCAGGCTTCTTTTAAAGTCAGTCAAAATATTGTCTTTTATAAAAAGAGGTCTGGTGTTGTTATAATAAGCTCTGCAGGACAGGGGCTTCACAGAAGGTTGTGAAAGTCAATACAAGGCTATGAACTGCTATAAAAAGACTTTTGTTATCATCTCTTTATAAAGCGTTTCATTTGTTTGTTGTTATTATTTATAACTTTAATACCCTGGTTCTGTACCGCAGTTCATTCTGAGTTTAGATGCCTTCAAGCTTTAAAGAGACTTTTTAAAGAGAGACGGTAAACATCTTTGTAAGGTAAACCCAACCTTTGTTTGACACTTTGTCAGAGCAGTATGTCTGGATTAGAACACAAATTGTGCCTCAACAGTGAATCACCTTGAGTAGGAAATTCCATCCTGCAATACTCATGTTTAGATAACATAAATGATTGGTTCCGAGTGCTTTCCTTAGTATTTTTATGATGAAATTCTGTAGTTTTCCTCCAAAAACCCATGAACAAAGACCAGAGAATGTGCACACCGCTGTGCTTCCAGTCAAATGTTTCCTTATGAGGATACATATAAAGCTGTGATGAGAAATGTATCTTTTTGGTGTTATGACCCTGAGTCATTGGGTCTTGTGTGTTTATGTTGTGTTGTGTATGTATTTTCTCTCCTCCTGTATGTATGTGTGTGTGTATGTGTGTGTGTGTCCTAGCATTACTATACTTGTGGGGACCTAAATCTGTTTACACAGTCACATGTGGGGACTCGCCTCCCTTATGGGGACAAATTGGAGGTCCCCATGAGGGGAATCATTCATTTTAGGGTGAAGACTTGGTTAGGTTTAGGGTAAGGTTAAGGGTTAGGCATGTGTTGGTTATGGTTAAGGTTAGGATAAGTCTCCAGGAAATGCATGTAAGTCAATGTAATGTCCTCTGAAGTGATGTATACATGGTATGTGTGTGTGTGTGTATGTGTGTGTGTGTGTGTGTGTGTGTGTGTGTGTGTGTGTGTGTGTGTGTGTGTGTGTGTGTGTGTGTGTTCAGACCCCTGTAGTAGAGTTAGTAGATCTGTAGACCTCTGTGGCAAATTAGATAGTAGTAGTAAGTATCAATCTTTTTGTCCCTTTTGTAAATATTCGGTTTTGTAAACATTCTTATAAGTATCAAGCCAGAAGCGTGAGTAAGAAGCCCTTTTATTTAAACCCCGATTTCTCCTGTTTTGGGGTAGGAGCCCGGTAAGAAGCCTGTCTTCTGTTTGATTTGGTTAGGTAAGTTTAGGGTCCTTTTTGAACAGAAGTTGTTGTTTGTTGTGTTGGCTATGTCTCACGTGCGAATAATTAATTACACTGCTTATGGTAATTGTCTTTGTCCCTGACCTTTTCATGGGAGTGGGAAGATGGGGAGGGCACATTTTAGTGCTATTTTAGTTCCCCTAGACCCAGGTGCCCAACCTTTTTTGAACCGAGAGCTACTTTTAAAGTTGCCAGTCTGCCGAGATCTACCAGTCCAAATAGAGGCGTAGCCATTACTGACAGCCTACTACCAGGTAAATACACACTTCTACTTGTATAAAACTGACCTTTGTACGATGAATACTTCATAAAATACTGCAGATCCTTTATCTTACCTCTTTCTAATCTACACACATACAAGTATTTAACTGAAGTTACACAATTGTTGTTGATACAGAGTTGGAGTTTATGCACACGTCACTACAGTGGGTAATGTTTTCAAGAAACATTGAACAGTGCTGCCACATATGACACAGGAAAAAAGAAAAGACTCTGAACCCTTTCTTTGCCATTATATAAAAATAGTGTTGCTACAAAAGTATAAATGAGGCTTACTAATAAGACAACTCAGATCTGAAGCTACACAGGAATCTGTAGCCAAAGTGCAATAAAAAAGACACAATTAATAGAATCAAACCCTTTTTTTGTTGCATTTTAGTAGAATATAAAAATAAATGCCTTTTAAAATAGGATGCAAGCAACACTAGCTTCTTAACCTGAATTGATAATAGACTATAATCAATTTAAACAGAACAGATCTGAATGTTTGCATTCTTATACCATTTTGTACAATAATTATAATGAATAAGTTCAAACAAACTCAAACTTACAGCTGATTAATAACGGTATCTAACTTGAGTTTTTATTATATCAAAAACCTGTTGAAATGCTTCTGTTACTTTTACTGTCCTCAAAAAGCGCGTCAGTAGCCTCCAGGAATGCTTCTTTCACAACTTCGGCGTCTTTGAAAGACTTCATGTGTTTCGCAAGAACGTGACAGACACGATAAGATGCTCTGGTAGCAGCCTTGCTCTTGTTGTTGGGCCTGGTGAAAATGGACTGCTGTGCATTTAGCTGTCCTTTCAGGCCCCTCCCCTTTTGGAGCATAGGGCAGAATTAGGAGGGAATTCCGTCTCGTAGCGTTTGTGCACTGTTTTGAAATGCCGCTCCTAAATTACCCGTCTTCGGTAAAGCCACGCTCGCATTGCAGATGAGACAGATGGACTTTGAATTGGAATAGATACAAAAATAATGATCCTCCCACTCGGAGTGAAAATGATATAATTTGGGCTTTTTTGCTTCTGCCATAATTGCGGTCTTGTGTGTGTGCGGACTGTCACTCCTACGGACAACGTTAGCGAACGAGTGCACTGCCCACTGCTCACCAGCCACGCCCCGACACATGGGGTCACGCCGGCCAATCACAAAACTTTGATGCGTTCAAGTGCATTATTCTGCCACAGGAACATTATGTTATAGGACATTAACAATAAAACAGAATATTGTTGTTCTATTTTTAGACACATCTCGCGATCGACTGGGAATCTCCCCGCGATCGACCGGTCGATCGCGATCGACTGGTTGGGCACCCCTGATTTAGACGTTCTGTATCACTCCGCCATCCGCTTCGCCACCAATGCCCCCTACAGGACACACCACTGTGACCTGTACTCTCTGGCTAACTGGCCCTCTCTTGAGACCAGGCGCAACATCCACTGGCTGATGTTTGTTTACAAAACACTCCTAGGCCTCACCCCCTTCTACCTCACACAATTACTGCAACTCCGCCCACCCCCGACTCACAACACCCGGTCAGCTACAAGCATCCTGCTAAAGATCCCCAAAGCCCATACATCCTTTGGCCGCTCCGCCTTTCAATTTGCAGCAGCAGATAGCTGGAATGTCATTCAAAAACCTTTGTCTCCCCCCACACCTTCAATGTCACTATTATTGACACCCTGGTACACACATGTAGCTGCTTTGCCTGATGCTGATTTTAATGACTGATTGAACCACAGCAATATTATTGTTGTTGCTGCTACTGCTACTACTACTGATAACGTCACATTAATCAGTTTTGCAGAGGAATAAGAAACATGCCACCAATGTCCAAAACGTATCCGGGCTAGCTAGACATGAGACACTTGTAAAAAAGGTACGTGAATTGACAGCAGCTTTTGTGGGTTTCAGTGTACCTGAATGATGAGTCCAGGGGCCATGGATGTTAGATCCTCCTGTAGAGTCAGCTTCAAGTTTTCATCGATTTGGTCTGTGGGGGAAAAGTACGAGAGACACAAGGCATGTAGGTGAGCTGGTGAGAATACAAATAAAGATATCCTAGTCACATTGGTTTAGATTGATTTGAATGTCTCTACAGATGTCAGATTTGAGTCTAGCTCACCAAACGTAAAATTCACTTCTAAAACGGCATGTTTCAAGTTATCTGACAAAGAGAGTACGAAGACATTTCATTTCAGACTTCAAATGAAAACATTTGTTGAGAAAAATCAGAGAATATTACAGTCAACTGCCACAGCAGTTATAAACATCAATGTTAGTCAACTAGGCCTGTTAAAGAATATTTAAAATGTCAATATATATTTGAATAAGAAAACAAATCGACAAACAGTGGAATGTGAAAATCAATGTTGGATTGTAAATTAAGTCAGACTAGTATTTATTTCCACCTGTTAACCTTAAAGTGTTCATTTAGAAGAAAATGTAGTTTTACTGTCTTAAGTGTTGTCTCATGTGATGCAAGTACAAGAAGAACATAATTAAATGTGATGAAGTACAATATGGTTATTTTAAACCAAATTCAAGAACTTTGCATGGTATCTGAAAGACACAACTACTGCTGACCAACCATCAGTGTTTGAACATAAGTCACTTGATTTCTCTGTAACACAACTTGAGTAAACGATAAATAAAGTGTTCTATCCTACAGAATAGGGGTGTTGAAAATAATTGTTTCTACGATCGCACAGCCCTACTACATAATGAGGCAAGGTGTATGATGAGACACTTGCATACACATCCTGCGTTTACCCTCGGTGGACATTTGTAAGATTGATAGTTGTAACAGTGTGGGTTCACTTAAATGAAGTGCATATGCAGAGCAGGTGTTGTCTGTGGCACTCGCAACCTAGTTAGACGAGACATAAAGATGTAGGCTCTTTTGAACCCTTTCAAGTAGGCTGATTACATGCTGTTTATGAAGATGGACCATAAAAAAGAAAGGGGAAGGTGTCTTAAATGAGCAGTTAGCTAACACCCAGTGTGCAGGACTCACCGAACAGCCCGATGTAAACCTCCTGCAGCGAGTGCACACTGCAGAACTGGTTGAGCTCGTGGTGAACTTTGTTGAATATCAAAGCTTTGTCGTAGTCCGCCGTGAAGTTCTTCACGATGTCGAAAACTGCACGGAAGGGAAAATGAGGGCTCGCTCGATTTAGGAAATACAGCACAGAACACACACACAATCCAGGTGGGCTGGAGCCGGCTGCAACCCAAGCACGTCTGATGTGTCAGCCAGTGCCAAGATGTGTTCAGACGTGAGAAGAAATCATAGGGAGTTTAGGATTACATTATGAAATCTACAATTAGACTTCACATTATTATTAATAATGTTCTACGTGCAATTACGTATCTGCCACTACGTGTTTTTGCACTACTAAATACTGTTAATATTTACATTAATTATGTGACCGTCTATGTTTCCTGTAGATATTTAATTGCTCTTCTTTCTGCACTGTTAATGTACAGTTTAATTATTATAATGCTGCTGTGTTTATTGTATTTTTGTAACTCTGGCACAAAAATGTCCTTCGGGATGAATGAAGTCCGATCTTATCTTATTGCCAGCGCTCTGTAACGATTTCTGAGTACAGAGCGCTGGCGTTCCTTTCTTCCTTACTTAGTTCGTTTCTTGTCCAATTCCTTGTTTACATTCTCCTTACTTCGTCCCACAGCGAGGAAAATGACATCGCTACAGCAAAGAGGACTGTGCAGACTAAAAGCTAAATAAAACAGTAAGAGGTTAAATAAAGATTCACTTCGACAACGGACTGAACTGGAAGTCCAACGCAGTTACCTTTCACATTTAACAACCATAATTCATCTGTATATAATGTCTTCACACTGTACCGTGTACATTTATATTTAAAATACAATTTCCTTGGGGGGTGGTGATGGAAAATGGATGAAGATCATTGTCTCAATTGTGACCATGTATGATTGTGCCTGTTCTTCAATAAGAAAACATTGAAAAAAATATATATATACAATTTCTTGCACACTTAATGTTTATTGCCCTTCATGGTGCATACTCGACAGTAAATATCTTTCACCGTCACGATGTAGATATTTTACACGTTTATATTTACTGCTTATGTTTTGTTTTCACATCATGTGCGACGCATTGTTTACATGCTGTTGTGACCGAAGATTGTCCCTCAATAAAGTGAATCCTATCTTTATCTTAACAACTTGTGTGGTCTGCTGGCGGAGCAGCATTGGAGCCGAACACATTAGCAGACTTAATAAACTCATAAAGAACACAGGCTCCATCATCGGCTGCAGACCGGACCCTATTAGATTTGTGGAGGAGAGTAAGGCCACTGAGTACATTATCGTCCAATACGAACAATCCTGACCACCGTCTCCAGCAGATACTGTGTCTGTAACCAGAGCTCTTTCTGTACCAATGACCGAGACAGGAAGTCTTCCCTAACAGCAGCCATCAATCTGTACAACACCTGACCTCTGGCCTGTAGAAACCTCCCAGACTCAGTTTTGTTTTTAAACTAACTCCACTCTGCTCTTCTAAAACCCACCCACTCTATCTCATTGCAATTGACAATTTACAGTTAACTTTCTTTCTGTCTTGTTGTACACTGGTGGGTTTACCTGCTGATTGATGAAGGTAGTTCACCACTTCTATACGGTCAAAGTAAATCATCACTCCTCCCCTGAAAGAAAGAAAATACATAACATTAATTAACTACACAAGATAAAGCGTTTGCATTTCATGGTGTAATACTCCCCCCAATGCATTGTGCGTGTGAAGGGTACATAATTCATGCTCGGGACCACACATGATACTACTTAATAAATTAAACAACTGCAGACCTACCCTGTGCCGCATGGGACATTCTTCACCTCATCTGTCTGCAGCGTGGTCTGCAAAAACAACAAAATAAAACATTGAATCAGTATTGCACAAAACACACTCTTGACATCGAGGTAGGACTGGGAATCAAACACAATATGAAATCAAATTCAATATGTCAACTTGTTATTTTATTATAATGTTAAATATGTTCAGTGGTTTAGAAGCGCATCATATGATTGTTTAAGTTAATCTTATCATGAGTATCTTTTGTTCAGTGATGCAAACACAGGTATGGTGAAAAAAGAGAGAACTATTCGAGGCAGAAAAAAAACAGCGTAATATACCATCTGACAAAGGCCTGTGCTATAATGCTTCAATTAACTGTTCTTTATAATATACTCAGATCAATAGGAGACAGAGATGTTAAGTTAGAAATCAAGGGGTTTTATTATTATTTACAGCAGGGGAGGGAACCTTTTTCCTTTCAATTTTTACAACATCCTCCGAGGGCCGTACAAATTATTGAACTCAACCTCTGCTTAAAAAAACTAAAATCACAGCCCATTAATTTCGCCTTTCTTTCATGCTGTGCAAAGAAAAAGCAACCTCTTAATCCAGATATCTCACCATGACTCACGTATGCATGCATGTGCACGGGTGTGGCGTGACCACAAAAACAGAAAGATATGGACACAAGATGTGTGCAAATGTATTTAGTATCCTATCCATGTGAACATGATTTAAGTGGGGGGGGACCTAACCTCCTCCAGGGGGGTCCAGGGTCATGCTCCCCCGGGAAGATTTTAAATATTGAAGTTAAAAGCATCAATCTGGTGCACTTTGAGAGCAACATTGGGAGATCTATGGATACATCTCTCAACACCCATATGAAACAGAACTGTAAGCAGATTCTTCTTTTTGGATATTTTCAAATCACTCCCCTTTTAAACTCTATTCTTGTTATTTTTAACAACTTTTTTTGTTACTGTCGTATAGTATTTTATACCTGTTTTTCATTTAGTCTCTAATGTCTCTAATAACTATAATGATCATATCAAGGTGTGCCTTAACCTCACTGAGTTGAGGTTATTTGAGCCTCCCAGGAGAGAGCTCTTCCACCTGGTTGTAGAAAAGCTCTTTAAATTCGTTAGCATAGCTAGCTAACCAGTCTACACTCCTTTCAGACGAGACACATACCACGTGAAGACACGTTACGCTCGTGTTGTGTTCAAGGAACCTGTCCTTGGCCAGGAAAAACAGGCACTCGCTTGTTTAATTATTTTGCGGTCTAGATTTCTTCTTCTTTTTTGAAGTGAGAAGTTGTCCGTCGGAATGACGGACCGACCCCCCCCCCCCCCCCAAAACTAAAACTCTTCGGTTCTCCACGAATTACACAAGTCACCCAAATCAGCGTTAAAAAAGCGGGAGGCGCCGAAAAGCGACTAATTTGCATCACTGTTTGTTATACGTTTTTTTTATATCATTACTATTATTTATGTACTTAAAAAGTATATACATGTCCCTGTTTTGTGCCTGAAGACCAACTTGAAAATGAATAGTAAGTAAATTACAGGAACATGGATTGGACTTGCATACAGGATAAATGGTGTTACAGGAAATCCTGGTCAGTATCATTAACGCATTACAACATTAGAAACTGCTGAGTAAGTAGCTGTGTAACTCAAACTCACATTACGTTACAAACCTTCACAAAGGTGCTTTATATCAAAGAGCTGAGTTTAGCGGATATGCTGATAGACCAGGAGATATTTAAGATAAGGGTTTATTCATATTCCAGGATATTCAAACTAACATCACACTGGATATTCATTTGGTTTTATCTGGTGTTTAGATCAGCAGTGACGTAATTTGACCAGAGTATAATACATTCCTGCAACAGGTCTGAACTCAAATTTCAATTTCCTCTTGCAAATCTATATCATTATCTGTATGTACTTAATGTTAAGGATTCAGATGATTATGCATGTAGAATGGGCTGTTGTATGATTCAAGATGCAAGGCTTCTATTGTCATTTGTAAATAGCTACAGTGTAGATCAGGGATGGGCAAATGGCGGCCCGCGGGCCGCATGCGGCCCCCACCTCCTCTTTTTGCGGCCCTCAGATTCATTTATAAACAACGTACATTTTTTTTCTTCTTTTTTTTACTTGTAGTACTGATACAGACTCCTAGTTACGTCGCGAGCTGCGTAGATGATTTTAAATACCGCGAAATAATCTGTGACGCATTTGTGTGTATTGTGTTTGTTTCCCGGGGAATCCCTCACAAGAATCACCGGCTGTTGTTATGCCTGCTGTGACGTTAAGTTGCCTCTTGTAATTATGCCTTTACAAGCTTCAAAGTTGTTTTAATCATCTGAATTTGACGAAACAAGTTTAATATTCTTAAAACTAAGACTTTGTTTATTTGAAATCATCGGACCCTGCCGTGTTATCTATGATTACTACGCTTTTCATTCATAATTTCAGCGGGAGGGAGGGGGAGTGGTGCTGAGGAACAGCAGAGTGCGGGCTGACAGGTGTCTGTGTTGACATTCCCCTTATTGTAGAATAAGGGGAATGCAGAGACTGGCTACAAGTGTTTTAGGTTCAAGTTAGAGAACTAATGTCTGGGTTAGTGTTCATGACTTCATGTGTATGTCATCTTATGGTTCATCTCAATACACACACATTTTCCGTGCTTTCCAATAGTTTTATTCCACTGTTTAATAACCTGTTCAATACAAACATGCCACTTGTAAAAATGAAATAACATTTCTGTGAACTGATATTTGTTTAGTGAGATGTTAGAGGATGTTCCCATTGATTGTGAAATGTCAATGAAGATGTCAGACTTAGTATATTTGTTAATAATTACATACAACACATGGGATTTGTGTGTGTGTGTGTTCCAAGTGAATCTGCGGCCCCCTGGTGGCCAGTACATCAATGATGTGTCCCCCACCACCATCAAAGTTGCCCATCCCTGGTGTAAATATATCAATGAAAGTCTTAAGTCACAGGCTCCTCCATCAGTGCATAATAAAACAGATAAAATAGTTAAAATAGTGCATACAAATAAAAATAGAATGGAAATAGTGCAAGGAGAGTCTATATACAAGTCATTGGAATATGATATATTAGATTAATAATTTGTAAATTGCAAACAGATGAATGTTATGGATGTTCTTTGTACAGATTATTAGGGATTTTAAAAACTGAACTTCAGTTGACTCACCTGAACAGGCTTGTAGGTGGTGATGAAGGGAAGCATGAGATGGAAACCAGGACCGCTGGTGGTGGTCAGCAGAGCCCCTCCCCTGTAACACACACACACACACACATTTCATCCATAACCTTCTTGTGAAAGTGAACCTCAATGCGCTTTTATCCAAGTAAAACCATAAAAGCATTCTGCATTGCTATCTCTTCAGGATCACCATGAGCCTGCATCTTAAAATAAATATCTCCTACTGGAATGTTATCTTATAATAAATAAAACTGTATTCTCAAATGTGGTATGATGAATTACAGATCCGGGTCTTATCCAAATTGATAAAGCTTGTGGTAGCCTTAATTTAAGAGATAAAGTGGAGCATTGAGTGTATTTAAGTCAGTTAGCACCGCTTCCATTGTCCTTTATGCTCCTGCTGATGTTAGTACAGGTCTCTTTTACTGCGCCCACATACTCCAGCAACTCATTTATCAGTGGGAAAGATATTATAATTGACCCATGTCCACTCATAATAGAGATCTCTGTTCTTGGATGGCATCATAATGAATCCACACTTTGTTTATAGAGCCCGGCGGAAAAGCAGAAGCTGATTTCTATCTTGTTTGTTATGAAAACTCTGATATTTACTGCGTGTCAGTACAAGAAATGACACTTTAAATACTCTTACCAAGGCCCAGAGGCACAGAACCACAGCTGGATTATTTTTGCAATCTTAACATTGTATTTATAGTAGTCTCTGTTTAACAGTTTAACTGCTAACGGCTAACACATTTCAAGCAGATGCTCGTTTTTCTTTAGCCTCAGTTTTACAACGGAGAAATGTACCACTTATGTCTGAGGTATTAAAGAAAACAATGTGTGCTGCAGTCTCACCTGTAGTAAACTCCAGTGTGTCCCTCGTCAATTTTGTGCACAGAGGATAACAGCGCCGCTCCTCCGAGGGCAGCGATTATCGAGAATATGGCCCCCCACTGTGCCATCCTGCTGACAGGTGGAAAAGGAGACCGCATGTAAAATGAGCAGGTGGGTATAAAGTTTCCCTTTTCTGTTTAAACCATATCCTGCTTTAATTACAAGCAAATGCTCCCAACTACAAGCACTAATTAACGGTGGCTATGCCCTCAGATGGCACTAGTTTATAGTATTACAATTTAAATAGTTTAATCTCTATTTTTTTACTTTGTCTTTTGCACTTTTTTATTTTGTATTTCCTTGTATGTCTTAAAGGTGGGGTAGGTAATTTTGGAGAAACCAGCTCGAGTGAGCTAGAATTTGAAAATACACAGCCGTAACAAATCTGCCACTTCCTCACAGAGCCCCTCCTCCAACACACACGAACGCGCACATGACCAATGAGGGCACGAGATAAGTTTGTGCACGGATGGAAGGCTGACAGGCAGGTAGGCCATCCAGTTACTTTAGCCGAGCCGGCTCAGATGATTGGTCGTGCTTTTTTTTTACAGTACTACGGCTTCCACAGATTTTTATGGATTTTTTGTCAAAGCACTAAAAATATTCATTGCTATCGGGATGTAAAGAGCATTCCATGGAATATAACAAAAAGTGTATCTCGATCCGGTTTCTCAAACTTACCTACCCCACCTTTAACACGTCATTTGTCCTTTTAAATACTGGATAGTTTGATATTGGAGGAATTTATAATTTGTGCGTGATTATTCTCATTATTATTGAAAATACATTAAAAAGGACCATAGTGTGATTTATGAATCAACGATAAGGGGACTTGCAATAAACAAACATTACAATACCTTTTCAAAATGGCACTAACACATATTTTGCCTGCACAAATATTGTGGTTCGTGCAATTTGAATATTACACTAGTCCATATTGCCATTGCGATACATTGTTAATTGCATTGTTGGAGGGGCATTGGACTTTTATGGCCCCATTTTGTATATATCTGTATATTGTGCATATGCAAATAAAGCCTACGAGTCCTGAAACCTCTGTGTCCTGCTGGAACAGGTGCAGTTGGCTCCTCGCTCTCTTTATCTCCTCTCAGTGCAGGCTTAGGAGCCATCAGCTGGGACTTAGTGACCTTAAAGAGGATTGAGGCTGCAGTGTGAAGAAGACGTTGTAACCTCACGTCAGACATTAAGTGGCATTTGCTGGTATCATGTACAAAATAATGTACATTCACATAAACGTGATAATGTTAATTTAAGCTGAAAGATAAGTTGCTTTGATTGGGAAGGATTTGCAAAGATATAAGCTGGTGACCTTCAGAGACAGCAGTGTTTTTACAACCCCTCTTTGTATGTTTGAGTCCATTTAATACAGATATTTTAGTTTTTATAAATAAGATTGTGGTGGATTGTGGCTTTTTTCTTCTTAAGACACTGGTCTGCAACTATTTGGGTTGATGCTGGACATATGTTTCTTCGGATGTCTAAATAAACAGAAATAAACAAAGATAGAGTAGCATTTTAATTTATAATCTACTTGTTTGCAACACGAGATGCATGCTATGATAATCAAACGTTAGATAATCTTTAAAATGCATGTTGTTATGCAGCAGTGACTTCCTGCATGGACAAAACGGGAGGAAGTGATTACTCAGAAATCTGGAAACGATATCGCTGCAAAAGGCACAAAAGGGTTAAGTAAGAAAAGTGAAGTCTTGTACGAGAAGAAATTATCTTCATGTATTTTCAGAATATAAATCATCGTTCAAACAGAAGCGTTTCAGTTTCTAAAAACAAAGCTTCCCCTGCTTCACGGAAGCGAAAGCTACAACAGATCAAAGTCCAACGTTATTAAAAAAACACTCAATTCAAAGGCAACCCGGGTATGCCGAATGACAAAGGGGAATTTAAAGATGTGTATACAGTCGTAAAATTATAGGATTAACAAAGATATGGATCACTTATCCGAAAAATAACTTTAAATATACAAACCTGTGAGGAGAGTTTGGTTGTGTGGCGTTGGGAGGAGGCTCTGATATCATAATGTGAATTATGTTAGTCCTGCTTAAAACAGGGAGTATTTTCCAACTGCAGACAGTTTGAAAATAGTATCAGTTACTTATATTTCACAACAAAGCTTACTTTACATTTCACTGTCGCCGTAAAAGCTGTACAGTCAGCGATAAATATCGATCATCCCATGTAGTATTAATCAGAATGGATGAAACCAGAGTCTTTGTTTATAAAGATGGTAAAACAGTGTTATTTTTTATTAGAAGGTCTTACCTGTAATTTCAGCAGAGAGGACACGAACAAACAGAAAACAAGCAGGCACCTCCACAGGCACCTGCAACCGTCTTCTTCTACGGTGGTTTGACCGTTGGCGTAGAACGTGTGGCGTTAGCGCCCCCTGGTGCGTGGAAGACTAGCTGTCTCTCAATTTTATTTTATTTATCTATTTAATTTATTTAATTTATTTAATTTATTTAATTTTATTTATTTTATTTATTTATTTTCTTTATTTTATTTATTTTCTTTATTTTATTTATTTTATTTATTTTATTTTATTTAAATTGTATATATATATATATATATATATATATATGTTATTGTATTTTTTATTGTAATGGCAATTCAACAAAAAGACAGGACAAATTGTATTATTTATCATTTTTAGTTTAACAAAATTGATGAACGTTATCGATTTATAAACACAACACTGTTCAATCCAGGCAAACACAAAAGTTAATATTTGTGCCATATTGCTGTAGATCTTGGTACAATTGACTGAAACTTGGTTTTGAGTCATGTCCAGCTCTTCTTCTCTTTTCCCCCATGAATGAAAATAGAAATAGAACATAGAAAAATGCCTAAATCCTAAAAAAAAACACCATTTAAGGCTTTTAAAACATATCTATTTTATATATAATATATACTGTATTATCATAATTGTGTTAGTACTCTCCAGTCCATGATATGCTTTAATATAGTGTTCTTTTTTTAAATGTTGTTTGTGAGGTTTTTTGTTTTAGACCATTTGCCACTGTAATATTTTTCACATTGAAATTACACGCTTGACATGCATGACAACATTACCCAGGCTATTTCATGTGAGAGCTCTAGCAGCTGCATGTGAACAAGACAAGGCTCATTCAGTGACTGTGCTTAAAACAAATCTAAAGAAATTAAGTAGAGTATGAAAAAACTGCAAACCAAATTAGATCTGTGGCAGGGCAAATGCAGAGCAGCTGGTTACGGGGCAGAAAGCCAACAGTAGCCCTGCACAGAGGAACACAAAAAAGAACACGGCATACTTTGTTCAACAAATTAAGTTGAGGATGACACATGCTGACCATGAACGCAGCACCGACCCTGGTTTGAGTTCAGCTGGGGACCTTTGTTGCATCACTCTTTATCATTTCCTGCCATCTCTCAGCTGCTTATAATGAAGGCTCAAAATCCCAAGGATAAAATACACAGAATATAATAAAAAAAAATAAGGAAAGACACCCTCTTTGATTCTGAAATGTTGCATTCATGTCTTCACAACAGGAGTCTGATCACAGCAAAACTGGAGTTTGTTTTGTTGCAACTGTTTGTTGTCGTTGCAAGGTTTCCTCAACTTGGCTACAGCCTCATTTTCCTCCTGAGTATTTTGTCTGGAAGTAAAAAAAACAATCTGAAATTCTCTCGTTAATGAGCCTCATATAATTTGGATCGCTGGTATTTCATTTCAGTGTGTTTAACCTCGCTTGACATTAAAGTAATTCCACTCTTTTTATTGATAAAACTTACTTTACAGTTTTGTTATAGTGGCATTCAAATGTTGAGTGTGTGTATAGCTAATGTATAGCATTTAAATCAACAACTTTAATACAATATTAAACAGTGTTTCATTAGTTTTTAACATGTCTGTCAGCTAACTTAAAGGTCACCTATCATGCTATTTTTAGGCAATAGCATAGGTCTCCGATATATAAAAATATATCAAGAACATGTCTATGAAGTGTTTTGCTCAAAATACCAAACCGATCACCCATTCTAGCCATGCCTCATATCCCTCTATTTCACTTCCTGTTTCAAAAGTGCTGATTTGGGGAATAAAGCTTTAAAAAAAAAAAGATTTGATAAAAAAAAAGGAGGGGGCTGAGCTCATGCGGGAGATTCTACCGGCAGATTCTGCCGTGATGAAACGCCATATCATGGATTATCAAGGATTCTCTCTGAAACAGTTTGGAGCTCAAATGCTTTCCCTCTTGCCGGTTATACCACAAGGTGAGTTCCTTTTTACTTCCTGCTTCTTCACATACATGCTCTCCAGTACAGGTTAGCTCTGAGTGTTAGCGATGCTAATGTAAACACCGACCATATTACGTCCAAAACAGTCGGGCATTGTTTCTGATAGCAACGTTTCTAATATTACGTCATATCGGACGCAAATCTGGATCAGCTCCGTTGTAGCCCCGTTTTTAGAGATTTGGGTACGGAGGAAAAGAGAGAGGGTTTTATTTTCTGATGCTGCGTGAGTTCCCTGACACACCGGGGACACATATTTATGTATAAAAGATATCTAAAAGTGCATTTTGCATGATAGGTCCTCTTTAAAGACTATTAAGAAATGTAACACTAGCACACTAACACTTTTACAAGTAAAATACCTGCATTTATTTAAATACATACTAATACAATATATTAACATATGTAAAGTACAACAAGTACTCATTCTGCACATGGCAATATAAATTACATATAATATTATAATTACAGATGCAGATAGCTTTAAAAAAATACATATATTTTATAATCAGCTAATAATACCAGCATGTGCATTTTGAATAAAGAGATGAATACAGTTTAAAAACAATGTTTGTTTATTTATTTTGATCAATCTTAATCATTAAAGTAGGGCCTTACTTGCTAAGAGTAAAAAGTACAATATTTGCCTTTGAATTGTAGTATAGTAGATATATAAAGCAGTATATGTGGAAATACTTAATTTGGGTACAAGTACCTTAGATACTTAATAATACTTGACTAAATGTACCCTTCTGTTATTGTAACCTGTAAACTCCAATTTGTAAAATGCAACACTCGTTTCCACTGATTTAATTTAGTGGTTTGGTTGATCTATAAAGTTTAATGCATGTTCTTGAATCTTGATCTTATTCACTTTTGAATGGACAGTGAGAATATTGTTTCACACACTTCCTTAATGTGAACAGCAGAGGGCGTCACAGACCAAATGAGTTTCACTGCTTCATTTTCAGAAAGAAGAAAACTAAAATAGGCTATATTAGTTACTCGATGTTAGTATTAGCAACAAACATCAATTTTGGCATTTGGTTGAAGATTTAGCCAAACAATACATTTGGAACAAACAAAAAAGGAATATAATACATTGTGAATAAACAAAACTCATCTGGAAGTGATACACAACTAAGGGTCTCTTGACACTAAAATGGCTGAGCTTTATTTTTAGACGCTGGTCTCTTGAGAGATCTGGAAAGGACCAGAGCTAACCCCAAGGTGCTGCAGTGGCATGTCTGTGCTGTGCATTTTAAACAGGGAGGGTGGAGGGGAGGAACAACAGAGCGAGGGAAAAGAAGTTTGTCAGAGTTCATTAAGTATCAAGGGAACATCGCTGGAACTGGCAGCGTAAGCCGCGCCGGGGCCCTAGTGCCATTAATCACGACTGACAAGAAACCAGGGGCCGGGGGGGGGGGGAGAGGGAGAGAGGGGGAGAGAGGAGAGAGAGAGAGAGAGAGAGAGAGAGAGAGAGAGAGAGAGAGAGAGAGAGAGAGAGAGAGAGGAGAGAGAGGAGAGAGAGAGAGGGATGGAGGAGAGAGGGGAGAGAGAGAGAGGAGAGGAGGAGAGAGACGGAGAGAGATGAGAGAGGAGAGCGAGCAGAGAGACTCTGTGTATTGAATTACAGAGCAGGGTCCAATAGGAGGCCGGTGTTGAAGTAAAACCACACCCACAGGCCGACGGCTTTTACAAGGGTCACCTAGTTATGCAAAATCCTCTTCTTCATGTCTCTTCTACATCAACATGTGTCCCCTCTTCTCCATGTCTCTTCTACATCAACATGTGTGCCCTCTTCTTCATGTCTCTTCTACATCAACATGTGTGCCCTCTTCTTCATGTCTCTTCTACATCAACATGTGTCCCCTCTTCTTCATGTCTCTTCTACATCAACATGTGTCCCCTCTTCTTCATGTCTCTTCTACATCAACATGTGTCCCCTCTTCTTCATGTCTCTTCTACATCAACATGTGCCCCCTCTTCTTCATGTCTCTTCTACATCAACATGTGTCCCCTCTTCTTCATGTCTCTTCTACATCAACATGTGCCCCCTCTTCTTCATGTCTCTTCTACATCAACATGTGTCCCCTCTTCTTCATGTCTCTTCTACATCAACGTGTGCCCCCTCTTCTTCATGTCTCTTCTACATCAACATGTGTCCCCTCTTCTTCATGTCTCTTCTACATCAACATGTGTCCCCTCTTCTTCATGTCTCTTCTACATCAACATGTGCCCCCTCTTCTTCATGTCTCTTCTACATCAACATGTGTCCCCTCTTCTTCATGTCTCTTCTACATCAACGTGTGCCCCCTCTTCTTCATGTCTCTTCTACATCAACATGTGCCCCCTCTTCTTCATGTCTCTTCTACATCAACATGTGTCCCCTCTTCTTCATGTCTCTTCTACATCAACATGTGCCCCCTCTTCTTCATGTCTCTTCTACATCAACATGTGTCCCCTCTGTGGAAAGAGACTCTGAAAGTTTCAGGAACAAAGATTCTCTCTCTTTTTGTCCTGATCCATTTATATAAAAACCTGTCTGAAAATGAGCTGATCAGATTTTGGCCACTTTATGATGTCATAACGATGTTTTGGCTTGGTAACCATTAGCCAATCAGCAACCAAGGTAACACCACTGTAACATCTGTTTGGTGTTTGGAGCCAAACACTTCAGAGACATGTTTTGCATATATCTGAGACCTATAATATATTGATGAAAAAGAGTATAATAGGGGACCTTTAAAATTCAGCTACCTCACAGATCTCACTCACAAAACCACAGAAGAAGACAATACATTTGCACATACGGGGTGTTTCTCAATCGCGAGGATGCTGGTTTAGTAGTCGCGTACTTCCAAGTCACTTCCTTCAGAAACGAAGCAAGTACTGTATGCTTTCAAGCCACGGCTTCGGAAAACAAAGAAGAATGGAACAGGCTAACAAGTGTGCCACTCTCTCTAACGGTTTCAACATAAACTGTACCGAAAATAAATACCTCACGATGTCTATCTAATTATGAACTTGCTTTACTTTCACGGAACACATTTTTGGTGATAACAAACAAATGTAACAAAGTAACATATTTACCAACACATGTTCTACGCCACTACATACTTACATTTAAAT